TCTGGAATGCTAGTCTATCATCGCCACACGATATGTGCATCTCAGCGATGTTAAACGTATTGGAAGTTCCTCCTGTCAAGATATCCTGAGTCAGACTGGAAGGCAGTCTGTAATTAGGCTAATGAAACTACAACACCTAAATTAGCCATGGATGACAACGTCGTTATGCTCAAGCCATAGCTATAAGTTAACGTATACCGAATTGGTCTTGCGTCCTTGCACTGCAGACGCTGAAATATCATAGAACCGAGCAGTGCTTAAGCCTAAATGCTCCTCTAACGGATTAGAAGCAAGGGAAAGATGCAATGTTGCAGTGTGATAAGACGTAATGACCACCATCTGTCTTACACTACCGTAGCATCGGTAGGAAACTTTAGCCAGAGGGATTCAATTTAAAGCATACTACCGTTAGTGTCTATCCGCTGTACATATGCCGACAGCTGGAAGAAAGACCGCGTAACACTACAAACCTGTAATACATTTACGTCGCACCTAAACAGCATAAATCAGCAAGTTGTAGACAGACGCAGATGAGCAAGGATTTTTGTATAAATGGAATTTTTTCTCTGATGGGAAAGGAATAAGATCTGATCAAAGAACCAGCGCAAAATCAACTATATGCAGTTCAACTTTCTTTTACCTAGAGCCGCGGCTGTAAAGTCGTCGATCTCGAAAACAGACTGAAGGGTTTTTGCTCGAGTTGATGATGCCACGACGGATCATGCATGGGTTACGATTGATGAACCTTCGGCTGAACGAGTTTATTGTCGCAATGAAAAAAAGGCTGCATGCAGAAGATCGGACTAAATGAGCGGGCACGGGTTGTAGGGCAAATGCATACACCCAATCTAGAGGCACACTATGCATCTTTCATTGAGAAAGTCAACGAATGAAATTCTGACAAAGAAGCCGATGGATAAATATTTTCGACGATTTTATCCCATTGTCGTCAAACTGACCGAATGACTGACTGAATGTTAGCTATTAGCCAAACAGTATACATGTGTAAGATACTACACTGGCTTCACAGTAATCGCAGAGCAATTCATGACAGGCATGATCGACGGACAGATATTTTTATCATTCGAGAATTACACATGGAATTATTGAATTAATGAATGGGCGTAATTCAATGTTTCTGGACAGATTTCTGTAAATTAATTTCGAATCAAATTAATTATAGTTTTTTACATATGCAACAACACTTATGCGAATGCAACCTCCCTCGCATTTTAGAAAGCTGATAATATGCGGATTGCTGAAACGAACTTTGTTCCCCCCCATAAAATTCCTTCATCGAGCTACTGCGCAGTCACTAAATACTATGCAAAAAATATACATAACCGTTCACACCTTTTCCCCAGCGCAAGCCGAAGATCGACCATGTGTAATTGTGCCAATCGATCAGAAACTTGAAACACCGAATCTTCGATACCAAAAAGCATACCATCAAAGCAGGTAGACCGGGAGGATTTTGAACGAGCAAAAAGTCAGGTCGCGATACGCAGATGAGGGCAAAGAACAACGAAAAAATCTGCCAGAACAGCTTAACGACCAAGCCGATCCCTGGCCAAAGGGTGGGTGCCGGCGTCAAGTACCGAAAGGTCACAAGCGGATGGCTAAGCAATTTCTTGTGAGGTGCGGTGCCGTAGTATCCGATGAAGTCAACACAGACGCTGTTCTGTGCCAGCGACAGCGCATGGTACTGCATCCGGGGGTTACGACCGACGTCACCCAGAACGACTATGCAACAACGCATTAGTTGCCTGAAAAGTAGTTGCATCTTTTAAATCTGTTAAACATGTCAGCATTGTGTACCTTTGGAATGCAAAAAAAACGTTAATTTA